GTCTGGTCAGACGCGCGATTATTTACAGACCACCGCCATATAGCTGGGACACTGCTGAGTGTGGCGTTAAACAACCAACCAACCAAACCAACCATATTTATAACCTTCTCGCAGCTCACAGTTAGATGAATATGTCATCTTTTTATCAACAACATGCCATATTGTATTCCCTAGATGTATTGTAGCAGTACAAAGCGATTAATTGTATTCTTTGCAGGCTCCATTGTGTGATATTTCTGTGAAGCCCTCTCGAACATCAGAATCTTCAAATGACTACTTTGGTGACCACACACAGATTAGAGCTGTGAGTGAAAATTTGGAAGAATTCAATAGTTCGAACATCGGTCATCCAAGGATGAATGAGATTCACAATCAAGAAAATTCATATTTTCCTTTTGCCCCAGTGGAACTGGAATTGGTGTCCTAGATCTGTTGCCAAGAGTTCCTGACACAGTCATAAGTAGAACCAGATCTAGCCTTGACCAAACATCAGACAAAGTTGGATCTGCTATTGACTAAAGATCAGTCACAACTAAATCTTCTCTTACGTCAGACACAGTTAGATCTGCCACTGACCTTACGTCAGAGACAGTTGGATCTGCCATTGACCTTACGTCAGACACAGATGGATCAACCATTGACCTTACGTCAGACACAGTTAGATCTGCCATTGACCTTACGTCAGACACAGTTAGATCTGCCATTGACCTTACGTCAGACACAGTTAGATCTACCATTGACCTTACGTCAGACACAGATGGATCTGCTATTGACCTTACGTCCGACACAGATGGATCTGCCATTGACCTTACGTCAGACACAGTTAGATCTGCCATTGACCTAACGTCAGACACAGATGGATCTGCCATTGACCTTACATCAAACACAGTTGGATCTACCACTCGCGATTCACCAGACACAGTTATATCCACCACTCACCTAAATCTAAGTATGCGTGGGTTTCATCTATCAGTGTTTTCGTACCAATGCAAAAATGCACGAACACTTCCATACCCCAACAAGGATTCCAGCGGTAGGCCACGATATCGAAAAAGACGAGAAATAATTTTAACCCCTTTGTCCGGTTGTCCTACTTTTTGTTCGAGGAATGACGACACCACGCAGAGAAACACGAGCAAGGCCCACCGTCTCATGTGGAGCTATCGAAAACCAAACATACTCAGATCAAAATGGAAGGTTTTTGTCTACTTAAGAGAAAAACTGCAGAATTGGAAAATCCGCAGAACAATATTCTGGTCAAGAAAAGGTCTTTACAGTGTTACAGAGTAAGCTCTTGGGCAAGGAGGTACATTTATGGAAACCGAGAACACATATCTGTGTGCTGTAAACAGTCTCTTGAACCAATCCCTCGTTCTTCCTCTGACAGATCCGACCAGAGCTGCCAAATCCAGGAGGGCTGATGGTCAAGCCGTGAGGAGGGCTAGTGCTGCAGCCCCATGTCCGAGTATGGTCAAGAGGAGACTTTTTGTTAAGGATCCTCCTTCTCCTGGGCACGAGGATAACAATCTGGTTACACTTTAGACATAATATGTCGTTGACAAGTATTGCGTGCAACCAGATAAACGTTCAGTGTTAAATAATGATAGAAACAACGAGGTGGATAGTTAGCGTTTTATTTGGAAATGTCATGGGCATTCCTGAATTAACAAGCTGGAACATCTACCATAACCAACATTAAACTGTGTACATACATATACTGAGTCAAAAAAGAAACTTCACGTTCTTTCTTAAGGGCAGTATAAAAGAACAAGAGATGGTAAGATGGTTAAATTGTTATTATTTCATTGCTGAGATCTGTGTGATGTACTCGATACACTGACAGTGCCATAGTCAGTCCCATCAGGCTACACCGCCGTTCCAGAACATGGATATACAGAATGTCAAGTCACAAGAATAAAAATGCGAAATTTCTCAGTTCAATATCGTGTATGGCCGCCGCGCGCGTTCACCACTGCCAAACACCGTCTCCTCATCGACTGCCTGATGCTTGTGAACACGTGGTTGGGGATTCTGCGCCATTGCTCTTGCAAGGCAGCGCCAAGTTCCTGCAAATTCTGAGGTTGGTTCCTAAGACCACAAAGCCTTCTCCCAAGCGCATCCCAAACGTGCTCTAATGGATTAAGGTCAGGGGACCTCGATGGCCACTCAATGATGTTGATTCCAGCGTTTTGAAGGAAATTTCGTGTCAACATCGCGGTATGCGGCCGAGCATTATCATGCTGGAACTGTAGACCTGGGCGATGAGCCGCGATGAAAGGAACGAGTTCAGGGGTGAGCACCTGGTCGAGGTAAGCAGCAGCTGTGATGTTTCCACGGATGACCAGAAGTCGGGAACGGTTGTTCCCACAGAAAACACCCTACACCATGCAACTTCCGCCCCCGAATCTGTCGACTTCCTGTACACAACATTGGGCATACCGTTCACGACGTCGTCTCCGTCTGCCTGCCGTCCGCGAATCTGAGGGTAAACCTGGATTCAGACGACTCCATTCAAGTCTCTCTGGGTCCATCGGAGGTGACGTTGGGCCTACAGCAGACGTTGACGTTTATGAAACGGCATCAATATTGGCCCACGATATGGACGTTGAGAAGGAAGATTGGCAGCCCGCAACCGAATTTCGAATGGTCTGTGAGGACAGTCGACCTCTAAACATCTCAGCCCTGGTTCGTGTAGCCGGCAGAAATCTGTCACGTAGGTGACGTAGGACGATTTGACGGTCTTCTGCACGTGGACGACCCAACCTTGGGCGATCAGAAGTGGTGCCAGTTTGTTGTAGACGACCTAGCAAGTCATACACAGTACGACGGCTGCATCTCATTGCTCTTGTGACGTCAATAACTGATCTTCCCGCTTGAAACATGCCAACGGCACGTTCACGTTGCACATTTGACAATCGTGGCTTTTCAAGTACCGTTAGAACTGTGGTTTAAAAGTGTTTTTTCAATTCTTGAGGCCAATGCAAACACGTGCATATGAAGAAAACTTCGATGCGAAGATCACGTGATCGACTGCACGTGCAAAATCTGATTTGGCACTAACGTCATTTGCACGACGAATGGATGGGTTTGAGTGGGTTTTGCTCACGTCGAAAGATAGGGATCCCATTTCAGATACATAGATGTATCATCAGAGAAAAATTATTCTTTATTTTTCAAATTACATTTTGTGAACATTTTTTTTGGACTCAGTATATATTCAGGCACTAAATACTAAATATAACGTACTTCACAAGAAAAATAAGCACAATGAAAGTTCCGTTTCTTCAAAATGAAAAACCGAATGTCATGGACATTACTGAATTAACAAGCCTGAAAATACACTTTAACTAACACTAAAATATGCAAAAATAATAAACATAATGTCACAAGAAGAATGAGCACAATGAAAGTTCCGCTTCCACAGTCTGTTCAGAGGTGAAGATGAAATGTAAACAGTGCAACGGAATCCTTTTGGGAAAATTTATGCTATACGATATCCCCAAACTAGAGAACGTGTGTAATGTTTCACAACTAACTGAACCAAACGTTGTCATTTCATTTCCTGTTAGTTGCAACGCGTCACATTCACATAAACTCCACTACAGCGAATAGTGCACTTAAGGACAAAGTCTCGCTGTTTGCAACTGAGATGTATCACTGTTGGGAGCTTACGCCACAGGCGAGACACTCATGGCAGCGCGTGTACAGATGAAATTAGAAATTACTTGAAACAACATTTCAATCAGATTTATTTGAAAATGTTATCATAGGCCACATGGCCAAACTAACTTTTGTAGTGGGCAGATAGTGATAGGATTAGACAAGGGTATCGTACTGATAGCTGCATTGATTACGAAATGTCGTTATGATGTTGAGAATGTATTTTAACATGAGCAACCAACATTAAACCGAAACATGAGTCTCATTAACCAATGACCTACTTTTCAGCCGATCCGAATTTTCTCCTATGAAAGTGAAAGAGACACCACAAACAACTATGGTTACACTGAATTCGAATTTCTTGCTTCATAAGGAAATGTTGTTTACCAAATAATCTTAATTTTAAAGTTTAATAAAATTGTATTTTTTGTTTTATGTCAAGGTTTAGGCAGCATGTCGTTAACGAAGACGTCACAGACTGACCCTGTTAGAAGAAGTCGTACACTGATTCACAATTCATCTGGCTCACTGGTTACACTGTTATGCGTTCCTTGCGCTAATTAAGAGTATATTTGTACCGTACTATGTGATTGATATAATATCAAGACCGTACCAGACCACCAAACTTTTCTAGCCGCCGAGCCTCGTTTTGAGATTTCCACGATTTCCAGATTTGCTTTTGTCGGAGCACGCTGTACGACAGAGCACACTGCACTATGTGTTTAGAAGGAGCGTAGTGTTGCAATATACAAGTGATTAGATGTATCAAATAATAGTGATTAAAATCAATATATCCAGTTGAATGAGTTGGTCTCAAAATTCTGGACTGGTTATTGTACTAAGTTGCGCAATAGGGCGGAACCCAGTCAACAGGAAACGAGACTGTTGTGTCATCAATGTTTTGACTTGCTCTGAACAATCAGTACACATAACAGTGGAATAGGTATCTGTAAACTGACCATATGAAAACGTTTACAAATATTGTGTATATTATGACTTACATGTTCCTTCAACACAGAGGCGTGTGATAGATGATGGATGGATGGACAGATGGAAACGGACGGGTAGATGCTAGATTGGTGGGTTGTTGGGTGGATCAAAAGATAGCAGTTGGATGGCTGACTGACCGAAGGATAGTAGATGGGGATGCACTGCTTGTTTAATGCGGCACTCCAGCTGTAAGGCGGCGGTTTGTACATAATCGAACTAGACGATCCAGTGATTAACATCATGAGCACTGAGGAATGGTGGAATGCATCACAACACGCTGCAATGGCATGCAGCGAGCCTGACCACCCCATCGCGTTTGTCGCCTCTTACAAGCATGGTTTGCTGAAGACCACCATATTTATGTAACACGGGATATATAGAGCGTAAGTGGGTGGATAGTAGAAGTGGGATGGATGGATAGATAGGTAGAAGACGAGAATGGATGAATGACATCATATAGACACCAATACTATATCCAAGTCGGGGGATGTCGTTGCCACATCGTGTTAAGATGAAGTTGTTTGGGTTGTTGGCGCTACCAACTTGGTGTCCCTCGTTCTCAGAGGTCTTCCACGTTGTCTGTCACTTTACCGTAGGTACCTGGAGGATGGAGAAGGAGACGTGGCTGACAACATGCTTCAAGGACGCCTGGTCATTAGTATAGGAATAACTGGGACGGTGACAATCAGGGAAAGGGACGTCGGCAATATGGCGTCTGTAGAAATAGTCGTGAAATGAAGGAGGTTTGTAATTTTTCGATGCACTCTTGGTTGTAAAACGACACAAGACACTACAGCAATGTCTATTCGAAACGTTCTGGTTCCGTCCCGTAAAATGATCTTAGTGGTGTGTATATATTACATATTTTACTCCCACAGTTTATCGTGGACTAACGATAGTACGTTAATGTGACGTTACCTGTCCAGTCCTCTCAACCTGTCCAATCCTCCCAACCTGTCCAGTACTCTCTTCCTGTCCAGTCCTCTCTACCTGTCCAGTACTCTCTTCCTGTCCAGTCCTCTCTACCTGTCCAGTACTCTCTACCTGTCCAGTACTCTCTGTCCAGTCTCTCTTCCTGTCCTTCCTCTCAACCTGTCCAGTACTCTCTTCCTGTCCAGTCCTCTCTACCTGTCCAGTCCTCTCTTCCTGTCCAGTCCTCTCTACCTGTCCAGTCCTCTCTACCTGTCCAGTCCTCTCTTCCTGTCCAGTCCTCTCAACCTGTCCAGTCCTCTCTACCTGTCCAGTCCTCTCTTCCTGTCCAGTCCTCTCAACCTGTCCAGTACTCTCTTCCTGTCCAGTCCTCTCTACCTGTCCAGTCCTCTCTACCTGTCCAGTACTCTCTATCCTGTCCAGTCCTCTCTTACCTGTCCAGTACTTCTACCTGTCCAGTCCTCTCTTCTGTCCAGTACTCTACCTGTCCAGTCCTCTCTTCTCCAGTACTGTCCAGTCCTCTCTACCTGTCCAGTCCTCTCTCTGTCCAGTCCTCTTCTGTCCAGTCTTTCCTCCAGTACTTCCTGTCCAGTCCTCTCTTCCCTGTCCAGTCCTCTCTCCACCACTGTCTCAGTCAACTCTTCCTGTCCCAGTCAAGTCCTCTCCTGTCCAGTCCTGTCCAGTCCTCTCTGTCCAGTCAACTCCTGTCCAGTCACCTCTCGCTCCAACTGTCCCTCTACACTCTCTTCCTGTCTGTCCAGTCCTCTCTGTCCAGTCCTCCGCTTCACCTGTCCAGGACGCTCTCTGTCCTCAACTCACTTGTCTTCCTCTCCTCTCAATCTCAACTCCTGCCTCCACCTCTCCAGTCCTCTCCTCCTACCTGTCTAGTCAACTCTGCTCCACCTGTCCAGTCCTTCCAACTGTCCAGTCCTCTCTACCTGTCAGTCAGTCCAGTCCCAACTGTCCAGTCCTCTATGCACCTGTCCAGTCCTCTCCACCTGTCCACCTCCGTCAGTCCTCTCTTCCTGTCCAGTCCTCTCTATACCTGTCCAGTCCTCTCCAACCAGTCCAATCCTATCTACACCTGTCCAGTCCAACTCTCGCTCCACATGTCCAGTCAACACCGCTCCAACTGTCCAGTCAGCTCCGCTCTAACAGTCCAATAAGCTCCGCTCCAAATGTCCAGTCCTCTCTACACCTGTCCAGTCAACTCCACTCCAGCTGTCCAGTCAACTCCAAATGTCTACGCAACTCCGCCCCAACTGTCCAGTCCTCTCTACACCTGTCCAGTCAGCTCTGCTCCACCTGCCCATTCAACCAGCTCCAAATATCCCGTCAACTCCGCTCCAACTGTACAGTTCGCTCTATACCTGTCCTATCAACTCTGCTCCAACTGTCCAGTCAGCTAAGGACCAACTGTCCAATCAGCTCCGCTCCAACTGTCCAATCAGCTCCGCTCCAACTGTCCAGTCTTCTCTACCTGTCCTGTCAACTCCGCTACAACTGTCTACTGAACTCCGCTCCAACTGTCTACTGAACTCCGCTCCAACTGTTCGGTTCTCTATACACCTGTCCAGTAAACTCCACTCCACCTGTCCAGTCAACTCCGCTCCAACTGTCCAGTCCTCTCTACCTGTCCTGTCAACTCCGCTACAACTGTCCAGTCAACTCCGCTCCACCAGTCCAGTCAACTCCGCTCCAACTGTCTACTGAACTCCGCTCCAACTGTCTACTGAACTCCGCTCCAACTGTACGGTTCTCTATACACCTGTCCAGTAAATTCCACTTCACCTGTCCAGTCAACTCTGTTCCAACTGTCTCGTCAACTCAGCTCCAACCGTCGAGTACTCTGTATACCTAATTAGTCAAATACACCCCAACTGCCCAGTCCTCTCTACACCTGTCCAGTCAGCTCTGCTCTAACTGTCCAGTCCCGTCTACACCTGTTCAGTCAACTCCGCTCCACCTGTCCTTTCAACCTGCTAAATCTGTCCCGTCAACTCCGCTCCAACTGTCCAGTACGCTCTATACCTGTCCAGACAACTCTGCTCCATATGTCCAGTCAACTCCGCTCCAACTGTCCACTCAACTCGGCTCCAATGTCCAGTCCTCTCTACACCTGTCCAGTCAACTTCCCTCTAAATGTCCAGTGAACTCGGCTCCAACTGTCCAGTCAACTCAGGTTCACCTGTCCAGTCAACTCCACTCCAACTGTCCAGTCAACTCCGCTACAACTGTCCAGTCAACTCCGCTCCACCAGTCTAGTCAACTCTGCTCCAACTGTCCAGTCAACTGCGCTCCAACTGTTTAGTCCTCTCTACATCTGTCCAGTCAACTCCACTCAACCTGTCCAGTCAACTCCTCTCCAACTGTTTACTGAACTCCGCTCCAACTGTACGGTTCTCTATACACCTGTCCAGTACATTCCACTCCACCTGTCCTGTCAACTCTGCTCCAACTGTCCCGTCAACTCCGCTCCAACAGTCGAGTCCTCTCTATACCTGTTCAGTCAGATCCGCCCCAACTGTCCAGTCCTCTCTACACCTGTCCAGTCAACTCCGCTCCACCTGACCTTTCAACCCGCTCAATCTGTCCCGTCAACTCCACTCCAACTGTCCAGTATGCTCTATACCTGTCCAGTCAACTCTGCTCCAACTGTCCAGTCCTCTCTACACCTGTCCAGTCCTCTATACCTGTCCAGTCAACTCCGCTGCCTCTGTCCAGTCAACTCCGCTTCAACTGTCCAGTCAACTCTGCTCCACCTGTCCAGTCAACTCCGCTCCACCTGCCCATTCAACTCCGCTCCTACTGTCCTCTCTATACCTGTCCTGTCTACGCAACTCCGCTCCAACTGTCCAGTCCTCCCTACACCTGTCCAGTCCTCTCTACCTGTCCAGTCAACTCCGCTCCACCTGCCCATTCAACCAGCTCCAAATATCCGGTCAACTCCGCTCCAACTGAACAGTTCGCTCTATACCTGTCCTATCAACTCTGCTCCAACTGTCCAGTCAGCTAAGGACCAACTGTCCAATCAGCTCCGCTCCAACTGTCCAATCAGCTCCGCTCCAACTGTCCAGTCCTCTCTACCTGTCCTGTCAACTCTCAACAACTGTCCTGAATCCTGCTCCCAACTGTCCTACTGAACTCCGCTCCAACTGTCCAGTTCTCTATACACCTGTCCAGTAAGCTCTGTCCAACTGTCCAGTCAGCTCCGCTCTAACTGTCCAGTCCTCTCTACCTGTCCTGTCAACTCCGCTACAACTGTCCAGTCAACTCCGCTCCACCAGTCCAGTCAACTCCGCTCCAACTGTCTACTGAACTCCGCTCCAACTGTCTACTGAACTCCGCTCCAACTGTACGGTTCTCTATACACCTGTCCAGTAAATTCCACTTCACCTGTCCAGTCAACTCTGTTCCAACTGTCTCGTCAACTCAGCTCCAACCGTCGAGTACTCTGTATACCTAATTAGTCAAATACACCCCAACTGCCCAGTCCTCTCTACACCTGTCCAGTCAGCTCTGCTCTAACTGTCCAGTCCCGTCTACACCTGTTCAGTCAACTCCGCTCCACCTGTCCTTTCAACCTGCTAAATCTGTCCCGTCAACTCCGCTCCAACTGTCCAGTACGCTCAATACCTGTCCAGACAACTCTGCTCCATATGTCCAGTCAACTCCGCTCCAACTGTCCACTCAACTCGGCTCCAATGTCCAGTCCTCTCTACACCTGTCCAGTCAACTTCCCTCTAAATGTCCAGTGAACTCGGCTCCAACTGTCCAGTCAACTCAGGTTCACCTGTCCAGTCAACTCCGCTCCAGCAACTGTCCAGTCAACTCCGCTCCAACTGTCCAGTCAACTCCGCTCCACCAGTCCTAGTCAACTCTGCTCAACTGTCAGTCCAACTGCTCCAACAGCTCCGTCCCACCTGTCCAGTCAGCTCCGCTCCCAGTCACTGTCCAGTCAACTGCCTCCTGCCCAACTGTACGGTTCTCTATACACCTGTCCAGTACATTCCGCTCCACCTGTCCAGTCAACTCTGCTCCAACTGTCCAGTCAACTCCGCTCCAACTGTCCAGTCTCTGTATACCTGTCTAGTCAAATCAAACTGTCCAGTCCTCTCTACTGTCCAGTCTGTCCTGTCCAGTCTGCTCACACCTGTCCAGTCAACTCTGCTCCACCTGTCCTTTCAACCTGCTAAATCTGTCCCGTCAACTCCGCTCCAACTGTCCAGTACGCTCTATACCTGTCCAGACAACTCTGCTCCATCTGTCCAGTCAACTCCGCTCCAACTGTCCACTCAACTCGGCTCCAATGTCCAGTCCTCTCCACCTGTCCAGTCAACTCCGCTAAATGTCCAACTCTGTCCAGTCCAGTCCGGTTCACTCTGTCCAGTCAACTCCAACTCTGTCCAGTCAGTCAGTCTCCGCTCACAGTCTGTCCAGCTCAACTCCTCCACCTGTCCAGTCAACTGTCCTGTCAACCTGCTCCAGTCCAACAACTCCAGTCCAGTCTGTCTGTCCTCAGTCCTGTCCGTCAACTCAGCTCCAACTGTCCAGTCAACTCTGCTCCAACTGTCCAGTCACTCTCCGCTCCAACTGTCCAGTCAGCTCCACTCCAACTGTCCAGTCAACTCCGCTCCACCTGTCCAGTCAACTCTGCTCCAGCTGTCAACTGTCCGGCTCCAACTGTCCAGTCCAGCTCTCCACTCCAGTCCTCTCTCCTGTCCAGTCAACTCCGCTCCAACTGTCCAGTCCTCCGCTCCAACTGTCCAGTCAACTCTCTACCCTGTCCAGTCAAGCTCCGCCTGTCCAACTGTCCAGTCCTCTCTCCACTCTGTCCTGTCCTGTCAGCTCCTCTCCTGCTGTCCAGTCAACTCCGCTCCAACTGTCCAGTCCCTCTCTCCTACCTGTCCAGTCAACTCCGCTCCACCTGTCCAGTCAACTCCTCCTACTGTCCTGTCAACTCCTGCTCCAACTGTCCAACTGTCCAGTCCTCCACACTGTCTCCACCTGTCCAGTCAACTCTCTACTCCACCTGTCAGTCAGCTCCACTCCACCTGTCCAGTCAACTCCTGCTCCAACTGTCCAGTCAGCTCCGCTCCACCTGCCCATTCAACTCTCTCTCAACTGTCCAGTCAACTCCAGCTCCAACTGTCCAGTCAACTCTCTCCACCTGTCCAGTCCTCTCCACCTGTCCAGTCATACCTGTCCAGTCAACTCCGCTACAACTGTCCAGTCAACCTGCTCCAACTGTCCAGTCCTCTCTACACCTGTCCAGTCAACTCTCCGCTCCAACTGTCCAGTCAACTCTCTACACCTGTCCAGTCCCTCCGCTACCTGTCCAGTCAACTCCGCTCCACCTGTCCAGTCAACTCTCTCCACCTGCCCATCAACTCCGCTCTCCAGTCTGTCAAATCCTCCCAACTGTCAGTACGCTCTACCTGTCCAGTCAACTCCGCTCCAACTGTCAAGTCAACCTCTGTCTCACACCTGTCCAGTCAAGCTCATTACCTGTCCAGTCAACTCTCCAACTGTCCAGTCAACTCCGCTCCAACTGTCCAGTGCTCTCTACACCTGTCCAGTCCTCTCTACCTGTCAAGTCAACTCCTCTACAACTGTCCAGTCAACTCCGCTCCAACTGTCCAGTGCTCTCTACACCTGTCCAGTCCTCTCTACCGGTCCAGTCAACTCAGCTCCAACTGTCCAGTCAACTCTCTCCACCTGTCCAGTCAGCAACTGTCCAGTCAAGCTCCTGTCCAGTCTCCAACTGTCCAGTCAGTCAACTCCGCTCAACTGTCCAGTCAGCTCTCTACAACCTGTCCAGTCAACTCCGCTCCAACTGTCCAGTCAACTCCGCTCCAACTGTCCAGTCCTCTCTCCACACCTGTCCAGTCAACTCTCTCCACCTGTCCAGTCAACTCCGCTCCAACTGTCCAGTCAACTCTGCTCCAACTGTCCAGTCAACTCTCCCCTACTGTCCAGTCAACTTCTCTCCACCTGTCCAGTCAACTCCGCTCCAACTGTCCAGTCAACTCTCTCCACCTGTCCAGTCCAGTCCTCTCTACACCTGTCCAGTCAACTCCAGCTCCAACTGTCCAGTCAACTCCTCTCCACCTGTCCAGTCAACTGTGCTCCAACTCTCAAGTCAGCTGGCCAGTCCCAACTGTCCAGTCCAGTCAACTCCTCTCCAACTGTCTCAGTCAAGTGTCTCTCTCTACCTGTCCAGTCAGCTCCGCTCCACCTGTCCAGTCAGCTCTAGCTCCAACTGTCCAGTCAGCTCCGCTCCAACTGTCCAGTCAGCTCTCCACTCCAACTGTCCAGTCCTCTCTCCACCTGTCCAGTCAACTCCGCTCCACCTGTCCAGTCAATCTCTCCACCTGTCCAGTCCTTCTAGTCTCTCTCCTCCAACTGTCCAGTCAACTCCTCTACAACTGTCCAGTCAACTCCTGCTCCAACTGTCCAGTCTCTCTCCACCTGTCCAGTCCAGTCTCTGCTCCAACTGTCAGTCAGTCCAGTCAACTCCCTCTCCCAACTGTCCAGTCCTCTCTCTCCACCTGTCCAGTCAACTCTCGCTCCAACCTGTCCAGTCAGCTCCTCTCCACCTGTCCAGTCAGCTCCGCTCCAACTGTCTAGTCAGCTCCTCTCTACCTGTCCAGTCCTCTCCGCTCCACCTGTCCAGTCAAACTCCGCTCCACCTGTCCAGTCCAGTCCTCCACTCTGTCCAGTCCTGTCTCCACCTGTCCAGTCAACTCGCTCCAACTGTCCAGTCAGCTCTCTCCTGTCCAACTGTCCAGCTCCGCTCCAACTGTCCAGTCTCCTACTCCAACTGTCCAGTCAGCTCCGCTCCACCTGTCCAGTCCTCTCCGCTACACCTGTCCAGTCAACTCCCTCTCAACCAGTCAACTCTGTCCACCTGTCCAGTCAACTCCTGCTCCAACTGTCCAGTCAACTCCTCTCCAGTCTGTCCAACTGTCCAGTCAACTCCGCTCCAACTGTCCAGTCCTCTCTACACCTGTCCAGTCAACTCTGCAGTCCTCTCCAACCTGTCCAGTCAGCTCCTCTCCAACTGTCCAGTCAGCTCCGCTCCAACTGTCCAGTCTCTCTCCACCTGTCCAGTCCACTCCTCTCTCCACCTGTCCAGTCAACTCCGCTCCAACTGTCCAGTCAACTCTGCTCCACCTGTCCAGTCAACTCTGCTCCAACTGTCCAGTCAACTCTCTATACCTGTCCAGTCAACTCCGCTCCAACTGTCCCTGTCTGTCCAGTCCACTCTATCCACCTGTCCAGTCTCTCCTCTCCACCTGTCCAGTCAACTCCGCTCCAACTGTCCAGTCCTCTCTACACCTGTCCAGTCAACTCCGCTCCAACTGTCCAGTCCTCTCTCCAACTGTCCAGTCAACTCTGCTCCAACTGTCCAGTCAACTCCTCCTCCACCTGTCCAGTCAACTCTGCTCCACTGTCCAGTCAACTCCTGTCCAACTGTCAGTCTCAGCTCCTCCCAACTGTCCAGTCAACTCTGCTCCAACTGTCCAGTCAACTCCTGCTCCACCTGTCCAGTCAACTCCTGCTCCAACTGTCCAGTCAACTCCAACTGTCCAACTGTCCAGTCAGTCTCTCTCCACCTGTCCAGTCAACTCCTGCTCCAACTGTCCAGTCAACTCCTCTCCAACTGTCCAGTCAACTCTCCTCCAACTGTCCAGTCCTCTCTACACCTGTCCAGTCAACTCCGCTCCAACCTGTCCAGTCAACTCCCGCTCCAACTGTCCAGTCAACTCCGCTCCACCTGTCCAGTCAACTGTCCAGCTCCACCTGTCCAGTCAGCTCTGCTCCAACTGTCCAGTCAACTCTCCTCTACCTGTCAGTCAACTCTGTCCAGTGTCCAGTCAGCTCCGCTCCAACTGTCCAGTCAACTCCGCTCCAACTGTCCAGTCAACTCCGCTCCAACTGTCCAGTCAACTCTCTCCACCTGTCCAGTCAACTCCGCTCCACCTGTCCAGTCAACTCCGCTCCAACTGTCCAGTCAACTCCTCCACCTGTCCAGTCAACTCCTCTCCACTGTCCAGTCAGTCTCCTCTCTCCACCTGTCCAGTCAACTCTGCTCCACCTGTCCAGTCCTCTCTACCTGTCCAGTCAACTCTGCTCCTCTGTCCTGTCCAGTCAGCCTCCAGTCTCCACCTGTCCAGTCAACTCCGCTCCAACTGTCCAGTCAACTCTACTCCAACCTGTCCAGTCAACTCTGCTCCACCTGTCCAGTCAACTCAACACCTGTCCAGTCAAGCTGTCCTGTCCCTGTCCCAGTCCAGCTCCAACTGTCCAGTCCTCTCCTGTGCCTGTCCAGTCAACTCCACCCAACTGTCCAGTCAACTCCACCTGTCCAGTCAACTCCACGTCCAGTCAACTCCACCTGTCCAGTCAACTCCACCTGTCCAGTCAACTCCACCTTTCCAGTCAGCTCCTCACCCTGTCCAGTCAACTCCACCTTGTCCAGTCCTCCGCTCCACCTGTCAAGTCAACTCCCCCTGTCCAGTCAACTCCACCTGTCAAGTCAACTCCACCTGTCCAGTCAACTCCACCTGTCTAGTCAACTCCCCCTGTCCAGTTAACTCCACCTGTCAAGTCAACTCCACCTTTCCAGTTAACTCCACCTGTCAAGTCAACTCCCCCTGTCCAGTTAACTCCACCTGTCAAGTCAACTCCACCTGTCAAGTCAACTCCACCTTTCCAGTCAACTCCACCTGTCTAGTCAAATTTCGAAACGAAACGAAAACCTACCTTCCAGGTAAAATACCCGGTTTCGCAGTATTTCCCATCTTGTCGTAGGGTCGAGCTGCTTGAATGCCGCAGTATGTCGTGTTGGTTCTGGTACATTGTCTTTATCTTTCCTGTTTACACTGTAACTGTGCGTTACTAATTTATCCATACAATGTTTCCTCGCTTCCAAGTTGGTTTGGTTTGCCAACGCGAAATATCGCATGAGACGTTTTATATCATCTCGATCATAGCAACTGTAATTATTACTATTGGAACCAAATATACTATTACATGTATAGTATTTACATTGCATCCGAGATACAGCTTCAACAATATATTTTTCACACCTCCGGAGCAGAAACAGCAGCTTGTACTTCGCAGCCAATGGAAGCAGGTACTCCACGTTGTCTTTATTAACAACGTTGACGCTCCTGAAGTTGGGGTAGATGGAGGTCAGCAAGTCGACGAAGTGGTCAACTGGTCCGACCAACTTAGCCACGGCTTTGTTCGTTTCGCCTGGAAGAGAGTTTGGGTCTGGACGTGGCTGGAACTCACCGGCCAGGGTCGAGGACATCAGAGAGATAATGTTCAGGTCCACGTGAAGCTCGTGGTCTTCCATCTGTATGACGGCATCCGAGTTCATATTCCCCTCCGTGAAAAACGTCTTCGATTCTTTCAAACGATCCTCGGCCATTTTATGTTGTAAAAAAGGGAAACGCCTACAGAGATTTAGCTCTTATTTGTTGATGCTCTTGAAGCCAGCGAGTTCTGGAAATCAAAATGTTCTAAGGTAGGCAAATCAACTTACACCAGGTCCGAGAAACGCCCCTTTTCCTGGAAATGTACCACCTGCTCAACCTGCTTTGAGGGGCAGTACAAAGGATATGCTGTGACTGCAGACATAAATAACTTGCACAGGTCTCGTCAGTGTAGTCATACGATCACACCCTCTGGATCCGCCTATGCAGGCAGTACAAAGGAACTGCTATGAATGCAGACATATTGAATAACTTGCGCAGGTGTTGTCAATGTAGTCATACAATAGCAAAGGGTGACAACTGTACAGACAAGTACAACCATGCAGACAGCTGATCATACACAGTGCCTTTCATATTGACCCAGATGAAATTCCCCGTACTCACTTTGTGAAGTCTGGGTGCTTCAATATACATGTACAAGCACTAACACCTTATTGTTTCGTTCATCGCCTTTGTAGATTCTAGATTTGTTCACGATTGGGTGAAATAAGGGAAACATGCATTAATGAAAATAATCAGGGATAAAAGTTAGGTTTGTAATAAAAATATATCAGCTACCTACATAACAACAATTTTCCTTTAAGTGCAAAAGTCTAGAAGTCAAAGACAGGATCCTAAATTTGCAAAAGGACACAACTCTGTACAGTGAAATGTAGCATCTATCACCTCTGCACAATGTCTCTTCAATCTTTACAATAAGGTCAGCCATCTGAAAGACTACCCACTGAAGCTAACGTCACCACCTATGCACGGTTTAATTAAAAGGAAGTTGGACTTCACATCACTAGCTATGGTGAGGGGCTGGCTTACCAATAAAGTTTCATAAAATTATTGTTGTTAAACCCCTCCGCCCATGTATGCGTAGTAACTGCATGATAGAATCAATATAATTTTAAGCAAATGCAAAGTACATGCAGATGGCAAGATTACATAACATGACTTTTGTTTTAACCTCGTGAAGATTCTTGACGTCGTTTGTCTGTCAGACGTGAGACATTGAAGTCCAGTAGAACTGTATTTCGTAATGGATCAGGTATGAGGTCAGCTGATCAGTTGGTTTACGGTTTACATCAGACAATCAGAACATATCTAGCAATATAATGAGATATTGCCCAAGCAGAAGAAATGAAATTTAATACTATTCATATATATAAAAAAAACAATGGTGTGGCATGTAACCAGGCATCAGTGTTGAACGAGATGGGGTAGCCTAGAGGTTAAAGCGTTCGCTCGTCACGCTGAAGACCCAGATTCGATTCCCCATATGGGTACAGGGTGTGAAGTCCATTTCTGGTGTCCCCCGCCGTGATATTGCTGGAATATTGCTAAAAGCGGCGTAAAACCATACTCACTCACTCTTTCCTCTACAGAAAACACTTGGAGCTGCAGGAACAAGCAATGAGCCCCCAGTTATATAAAGACACCAGCTTTGTATCGGCAGAATCGCGAAGAGAGTTAACCAGGTGGGACATTGAGGCATCTAGGTGTGGAGTCGAAGCGTCAAGGTGGGGCATCCAGGAGTCAAAGTGGGGTAGCGAGGCAAGCAGAAACATCGAGTTGTCAAGACGGGGTACCGGGTCGTCCAGGAGAGACACAGAGTTGTCAAGGTGGTGTATTGAGTCATTGAGGTGGGGTAATGATCACCCCACATCTTCTACATCTCAAGCTGATGCATCTCCATCTCCACATACATCCCTCCCCACACAGGGTCGTCAGCAGCATCTGACACCTTCACGCCTTGCTTCATCAGCCCAAGGGGTGGTCAAACAGGTAACGGATTTCGTGAACACATGTGTGTATTAGATCAGATAACCATATATTTTTTTATACCTTAGTGAGATACTTTTCTGCAATAATCGACTGAGGTGAACCCAATTATTCACTTCATTTGCATTGTAATTAATGGGTATTGCTATACACATCCAAAACCTGTCACCGACGCCTGTATATTATCAAGTTTGGACCAGGCAAATCAGTGACTAAAAGCATGAGATGCTTTGCGCCACATGGGCTAGTGACCACTTCTGATGGTGAGTTGAGTTTTACATGGTTTGTAGCAAAATTCCAGCAATATCACGGTATAGGACATAAAAAATGGGCTCCGGAATTTTTTGCCTATGTGGCGAACCACCAGCCTAAGCCACTGCCCCAAATCAGCAGTAAACCCCACCCTCTAGACCCTCACTCACTCCATATTATACCGCCCGTGAAGATCCAGGTCATTAACCTATTCTTGTCGTAAGATGCGACTAACGGGATTGGGTGGCCAGGCTCGCTGACGCAGTTGACACATGTCATGGTATCCCATGGAAGGACAACGGACAGTACCCAGGCCGGAAGTCTGAACTTCCTGGACTGGTTGGTGACTTGTAGAAGTGAAGAAACTCTGCAATTCTGGAAGAGTGGAGATCTTCATAGTAGTAGTACCCTTGAGTTCCCTAGTAGCACGGATACGCTGCAGGAACGCAGAAACGACCTGAGTAGAGGCAGATTGGGAGATGGATTTCCCTTAAGTTACAACAGCCTTCAAACTTCTTCCACTATTATCGTAGAAAGAACGGGTCGAATTACGATGAACAGAAGTGATGGCTGTGGCTGCTTGACGAGAGTAGCCAAGGTAAAGATTAAGGGTCTGAAGGGACCAGAGGCGTAGTTCCGGGTGAGGGTGAAAAGCAGCTTGCCCCGGTCGGGAAGCGGTACTGGGTTTGGTTCTACCAGGCTTCTTAGGTCAACAAACCAACTTCTCGCTGGTCAGGAAGTTAACAACCAAAAGCAGTAGAATCTTGCTGGTGGTCAACAGCTTCTGTATTACGCATGAACACCAGATTTCGGCTTCACACATTGTACCCATGTGGCGATTCGAACCTGGGTCTTCGGGCTGAAGGTACGGGCACAAAAAGTGCTGCAACAGTCAAAGCTGAACGTCAGAAAGCCTAGTAGCTTATGCCACTGAGAGAGCACTGGAGCAACACATCGCCAGCATCCACCTGTCCTGAAGGGTGAACATCATCCCTTGACTGGTGTCAAACAATGTTTGGACTCTGGATCGATGTTAGTTTCGATTCCACAATGTACAATAGCCACCCTAACTGCCAGAGCAGCATGGTGGTGAACTGCAGTTGGTGAAGAAGTACGAATGAATCATGTTGTGCCTGGATGCAACTATCAATGTAGCTTCGAAGGTGAAGTAGCGCCTAAAATTGACCTCTATAAGTGAAGGCTAGTGCTGAGGTAAGGAGACCTAGCAACTCTTGTCACTGATGTAGGGAGATCTCTCCTGAGATAGGAACATTTAAATAGTCAAGCTACCATGGTAGCACTGACCGAGTGCTGAATGTAGTAAGGTCGGTGCATAGAGATTGTCAGTCAATCTACAGGAACGTTCACACTGTGCACGGAGTGATGAAGGTCATAAAATCGGAAGGAACGTTGGTTCCCCAAATGAAGTATTGGTCCGCCAGATGGAGTGATAAAGTTAGTAGATTCAACGCATGGAGATCGTTGATCTACCAAAACATTCGTAAAGTTGCTGTAATGACGAAGGTAAAAAATCCGGCAATGCCGGGGAAAGTTCATCTGGCAGACGAAGGCAGTAAAAACGGTGCCTGGGGACCATGCGAGCAGAACTGCAGTGACCTCTGAACTGAGGGCTTGGGCTAAAGTTGGAGGCCGAGTAACTCTCTGTGAACTGTCTCTCGGCTGGCTGACGAATCCCGACATAATCACTCTTACCGGGAATGGCACTGTTCATCGTCACTGGCAATATAAGGCTGGATTGTTATCCGCTTGTAGATCTGTCAGTGTACTTCATAGTGACTCTAAATATCATAATTCTCCGGTAAACATGGGGTAGTCCGCCATTTGCAAATGGTACCCATAATGCAACAGTAACAAAAATATGGACAACACGGTCTTCGGTGAATCGTGCAAGGCACAACTCCGTAACATCCCGTCAAAGGGATGATAGCTACTTGGCATCAGTACTGGTACCATGCACAGAAACTGGACCCATCTGTCCAGAAGCTTGCTGATGTAAAGGAAAGGGTGATGAAGATGACAAATCAGGCCATGATTACACCATAACGCTGTTACGAGTAGTTTGTAGTAACAGGCCTCAGTGAAGCGTCGGAAAAATTCCTGGATAGCAACCCTGTCTAGTAATGCACAGACGAGTGGACGTGGAGCTGATATCTACGCTGAGGGGTAGATTCCTAAACCAAATCATTCATCAAGGTGAAGATCAGAAGGTAGATAAATCAGGAATGATATAAGCTCTGGTCATGTAGTCTAAGTCTGGGAGATCGGGGATCGGCAGAGCGTCAAGTGCCGGCATAATCTAGATGTCTACGCTTCTGACAGAGCTACTTTATCTGTTCAATCAGCAGAAAGGGGGTACCATCTGGGATAAGTCATGTGACTGAAATCTTCTAGGGTAATCCGGAGAGCCAAGTCGAATGGTCATGCTAAGAGCATGCCACTCCGTGGTGAGGAATTCAGAGTATCACAAATTCCCTAAATATTATCATCGTGTTGAAAGCTGGTAGAGTTTAATTAACACCTGGTATAATTGACCGTATCTAGATGCAAGGTCATGATCCTCGATGAGCATGTAAAACAACAATGTTGACAAGTTCCGATCCGTCAAGTTGAATGTAGTAAGTAGATCATCTGGTATCTTGCTCAAGATAGCTGTAGATGAGTGAGTGAGTGTGATCTTACGCCGGATAGCTGTAGCTGTAACCAAGTGACCATGTGTGTCAACTGAACCAACATTACTGTTGTACCTTAAAGGCGGCATGGTTCGGCAATGCTGGCAGTTCGGTGAATACTGATGGTTCGGCGAACGCTGTTGGATCTGCGATCAGGCACGGTTTGATGACCAAAATCGGTTAAGTGATCTGGCTCGGCGAGGTTTGATCTGAAACGGTACTGTGATCCGGTTCTGGTGTGGCAACTCAGTTTGGCCCGACGAACTAGTTCTGAGATGAGCAGATCGATCTGGTAAACTAGTAAGGGGATGTTGTAGTGACTCAGTTCGGCGATGTGGTTTGGACGAGATGAGCCATTCTGTGCACAAGAATTAGTTCACACCGGCCAGCCGAATCGGTTCGAAGATGATACTTGGATGAATTCGTAGCTAAGATACATAGCATTCACTGACATGAACGTTCATGTCAG